GAGAGGATGAGCAGAGGCAGGTCCATGCCAACAGCCCTTAGATGTGTATTTTATTTTTGTTTTTTGTTTTTTAAATATATTTTATTGATTTTTTACAGAAAGGAAGGGAGAGGGATAGAGAGCTAGAAACATCGATGAGAGAGAAACATCGATCAGCTGCCTCCTGCACACCCCCCACTGGGGACGTGCCCGCAACCAAGGTACATGTCCCTGACCAGAATCGAACCTGGGACCCTTGAGTCTGCAGGCTGACGCTCTATCCACTGAGCCAAACTGGCCAGGGCTAGATGTGTATTTTTAAGCAGTTACCTTCCATAGTAAACTGAACCATCTAAACTTAGAAAGTTTTAAATTCATAAACAGGACAGCCTGTAGCCCTGACTTACCTGGCATGGGAACGTGTGTTTGGAAGGTCATACATGTGGTGGGGGCAGTATAGCAGAGAGAGTATTAGAGGAGGGCTCTGGAAGACATGATTACTTCAACTGTCAAGTGGACTTGGGTGAATCACTCTGCCTTGTCTTGCCCTCGGTTTCCACATTTATAAAATAAACCGTGTAGACTGGGGGTTTTCAACCTTGGCACAAATACTATTTGGGGCTTGTTAAGAACTGTATGTTTGTGTCCCTCCCGAAGTCCCATGTTTAAACCCTAATCTCCAATATGATGGTATTTGGAGGTGGGGCATTTTAGGTGATTAGGATTAGATGAGGTCAAAAGGATGGGGCCCTCATGATGGGATCAGCGTCCTTATAAGAAAAGGAGGAGAAAAGGAGGAGTCAAGGGATTTCCCCTCCCTCTCCCCCTCCCCCTCCCCTTCCTCTTCCCCCTTCTCCTCCCCCTCCCCCTCTCCCTCTCCCTTTCCTTGTACACAACAAAGGCAGCCATGTGAGGGCAAACCAGGAAGAGGGCCCTTACCAAGAACCCAACCATGCTGGCACCTGATTTTAAACTTCCATCCTCTAGAACTGGGAGAAATAACTGTCTGTTGCTTAAGCCACCCTGTCCGTGGTGTTCAGGTATTGCAGCCTGAACTATACAGGGCTGGATTATTCCTTGCTAGAGTGCTGTCCCGGGCCTGGTAGGATGTGGAGCAGCATTCCCTGGCTTCCACCCATCAGATGCCAGTAGCATCTCCTCCCCTCGCCCCTTGTTGCGACATTGCCAAGTGTCACCTGAGAAACAGTAGATCAAATTACTTTTTAGTTCTAAATTTAGGATGCTATTCTTGATTCTAAGAATAGTTTACAGTTAAACCCACAGGGTTCTGAGCAGAATCACTGGGACAGAAATCTCAGGTCTCTTGGGGAATTTAATACAGTAGTTAAGGAGCTCAGGTTTCGAGTCCAGAAGAACGTGGCCACTGGCTGGGTGATCTTCAGCACATTATTTCACCCTTTGGGTGCCTTAGTATCCTTGTCCAAAAAGTGAGGCTGTTCATAATACCTGCCACATAGGACTGATGTGAGGTGGAATGAAGCACTTAATACTGTGCTTGCCAATACTGAGTGACATAAATACTCAATATCCTCATCATTAATATTTTACCTCTGTTCCAGATATTTCTATATTTAACTTTTTACACATTTTTTGGTAATAGTAACTATTTTTGAAAAAAGTAAAAAGGCTTGCATCCAAACACTGATGTTCAGGCCCTGGCGGAGTAGCTCAGTTGGTTAGTGTGTCGTCCTGATATACCAAGGTTGTGGGTTCGATCCCCAGTCAGGGCACATACAAGAATGAACCAATGACTGCATAAATGAGTGGAGCAACAAATTGATGTTTCTCTCTCCTTTCTCTCTCCCTCCCTCTGTCTCTCTCTCTCCCTCCCTCTCCCTTCCTCCCTCTCTCAAATCAATAAAAATAAAAAAAACACTTTATAAAACAACAACCAAAACACTGATGTGCAAGAGACCTAACTCAAGAAGATACTTACTGCTTCTTCCCATCCAGTTCCGATAACAAACTTGTTGGCTTTTTCATCTTGTTCAAGCGTAATGTCACTGATATTGAGGAGACAACAAACATGGTTCTTTTCCTTTCTTTCATCTGAATAAGTACAGTTTAATTCAGTTTCTTCTGTGCTTGGAATTTGATTATTTTCACCATTTTCTAACTCCGTCTCATTTTTCTGACAGAGATCCATTACTGTGATTACTCTGATGGTTGCTTAAAGTTTTTAACATCTTCTTCCTGTAGTTTGAAATGCGGATTGAACTCAGTTTTAATTTTCTTTTTAAAGTATAACTCAGGTGAGACATTTTCAACACATTCAGGAATAGACTCAGAAGAAATATTACAAAACCATCCATTGCCAACTATTGACAATATAAAAGATAGGTATAAGTTTAAATTAGAGACTAATGGATTTAAAGACCAAAGTTGAGAGTGAAGAAAAGAGGAGAGGAAGATGTTTGTTAACAAGGCTCTATCCCTCATGATGGAGTACAGACTGTAGTAAGCAATGTAGTAGCCTCACTACCCTCCCTCCAAAAATGTCCAGATGACATTGTGCTAATAACAAGAGCACTGTAGTGGATGTGTGTGACTTATGCACCCAGGCCTTCTCCTCTTTCTCTTCCCGACAACTCTGGATATCAGCTTGGGGATCCTTAGGCTTCTGAGGAAACTGGTAGAACATATGGTCTAAGCTGGTCAATAAGTTCACCCTCATCCACCGTATACGACTGGTGTCTTTATTAAAAGGGGAATTTTGGACACAGACGTGCACAGAGGGAAGATAATATGAAGAGACACAGGGAGAAAATGGCCATCTACTAGCGAAGGAGAGTGGCCTGGATCACATCCTTCCTCACAGTCTTCAGAAGGAATCAGCCCTGCCAACACCTTGATTTTGGACGTCGAGCCTCTAGAACAGGCAGGCTCTGTTGTTTATGCCACCCAGTCTGTGGCCCTCTGGAGTGGCAGCCCTAGGAAACTAATACAGTAGATGATGGTGACAGTGTGATGGTGATGGAAGTGATGACGATGATGATGCTATCTATCCTTAATTGATGCTTTCCCCAAGTTGAAAATGGGACTTGGAATTTATAATCCAGTCAAAGGGTTAGAAAATTTATATCCTAATTATCAGCACAGACTTGAGTGGCAAACAGCCAGGGTTCCAATCTTATTTACTAGCTGTGTAAGGCTTAGATGAGTTACTTTTCTGGGTCCGTTTGCTCATATGAAAACGGCATGATTACAATACTTTCCCACAGACAGATGTTCCTCCTGGGCCTGCACAAGCTGCATCGATGAACTCCAATGCCTAAGCAGTGGCCACCAATGATCCAGCTGAGTGCTGATGAACAGCCAGTGCCTTCTTGAGGAAGTCCTTGCTTGTAATGAAATAGAGTCCACTGGGGACCACACACCTTGCTTTCTCTCACCCCAACATGATCCCTGCCAGAAACCCACATTTTTTTCATTTTCTGTTGAGGTAGAGACAAATAACTTCTTGTAACATATCTGTTCAATTACCGTTTCAGCTTATTTACTTAGGCTTAGAGTGGCGTTTAGATGGTAATAAAATTCCATTTACCGACGAAAGGTCAAATATCTTTGGACATCCTAATCTTTCCAGTATGACATCAGAGGAAATGAATGAGATCTGAAAGAAAAACACTTATATTACAAGTGACTAAAAACTAGAAGTGCTATTTTATTTACAAACAGCATGACTGAGGACCTGATAGGTTGTGTAAACCAGCCGGATCCTCTCATATTGTGAAATTCCACTTCAGTCACTGTGAAGGCCAAAGAAGCTCCTATAAATACATTCTGACCTTTTTCTCTTCTAAAATACAAATACATTTGTACCAGAGAACCCCTTAGACTTATCAAGTGTATAGTTCAAAAGGAAAAAAGCAGAGAATCAAAAGGAAAGCCATTTACTAAATAATAAAATAAACTTAAAACTTGAGGCTATTATAGCAAAGAAACAGGTATTGTTTAGGAGAGATTAAGTAGTGCTAGAATGCTTGAATCAATAAGAAGAATGTTTATTTCCGCTTCAAGTATCTCCACTGACAAGGCGTTCACTACTTAGAGAGTCTTCTCAAGTGGCAAAGTAATTTACTGGTTCTCAAACTTGGCTGCGCCTTGGAATCAGCTGGGGAGCTTTATATAAAATAAAATGCCCAGACCCCACCACAGAGATTCTGATTATAATTGGACTGGGCACAACTTGGCCATCAGGATTTTTTTTAATGTGAATTATTTTTAAATATATTTTAATTGATTTCAGAGAGGAAGGGAGAGATAGAAACATCAATGATGAGAGAGAATCATTGATCAGATGCCCTCTACATACCCTCTACCAGGGATGGAGCCAGCAACCCCAGGCATGTGCCCTGATCAGGAACTGAACCGTGACTTCCTGATTCCTAGATCAAAGCTCAACCACTGAGCCACATCCGGCCAAGCAGAATTTCTTAAATCACCTGAGATGATTCTAAAATCCAGCAAAATTGGAGAACTACTGCTCTGTTCAAAAGCTCTTTCTTATATTGAACCAGCACTGCTTTTCCTGGTTTGCTGCCTGGTCCTAGCTTTGCCCTCCAGAGCAAGGCTCTGTGATAGGAAGCCTTCCCATCCTTGGGTGGGGTTAAGAAAGTATATATTAGTGTCGGCCTTCAGACTGAAAGGTCCTGGGTTCAATTCCAGTCAAGGGCACATGCCCAAGTTGTGGGCTTGATCCCCAGTAGGGAGCATGCAGGAGGCAGCTGATCAATGATTCTCTCTCATCGCTGATGTTTCTATCTCTCTCTCCCTCTCCCTTCCTTTCTGAAATCAACAAAAATATATATATTTTTTAAAAAGAAAGTCTATGATGCCTGGCCAGTGTTGCTCAATGGTTGAGCATTAACCCATGAACCAAGAGGTCCCTGGTTTAATTCCCAGTCAGGGCACATGCCCAGGTTGCAGGCTCAATCCCAAGTAGGGGGCGTGCAGGAGGCAGCTGACCATGTTTCTCTCTCATCCATGTTTCCATCTCTCTATCCCTCTCCCTTCCTCTCTCTCTAAAAAATCAATTAAAACATATCTTTAAAAATCGAAAGTCTATGATGCTTCTGAAGATGCTCAACGAGTTTTTTTCAGAGAAGGGCCTGCATCTGAGCTCAAAGCAGTCTGTTACTACAAAAGGTTAAGGAATAATTGATACAGAGATTGTCCACTGCCCCAGCCTCCCAACAGTCCTATGAAAAAGTTCATGCATTCTCCTCTCTTTCAGGTTAACCATCTCCGGTGCCTTCAACTATTTCTCATATGCCATGAGCATATGTGAAATCTGAGAGGAAGACTATATCGCTATCTCTATATATCAGTGGTTCTCAACCTGTGAGTCGCGAACAATGAAATTACATCCTGCATATCAGATATTTACATTACGATTCATAACAGTAGCAAAATTACAGTTATGAAGTAGCAACGAAAATAATTTTATGGTTGGGGGTCACCACAACATGAGGAACTGTATTAAAGGGTCTCGGCATTAGGAAGGCTGAGAACCACTGATCTAGAGAGAGGAACAGCAGAGGCCAAGGATGCAATATTGGATAAGCCAGTATATTGGAGTCAGTAGAATTGGACCCAGTGAGGCCACCAGAAAAGGTTCCAGTCACATCATACTACAAAGTGTCAAAAGAAAGCCAGGTAACAATAACAACTTAATAATAAAACTTACTATAATATAGCTATTACTATGTGCAAATCTTTGCTATAAGCACTTTATATATTTGTGATAATGAGTACATTTGTATAAGCACTTTACTCATTTAATGGGGGATCATGAGAACTATATTGCCTCCTTATGACTAAAAACTAAGAATCATCTCTGTTAGTAAACATAGTATTCTTAGTGAAATGGTCAGATTCCTACATACCGGATCGCTTCTCCAGAACCCTGGTATCTTCAAGCAAGCTGGATCAAGATGCTCCACAACTAAAACAATATTGGTGGTCTTTTCCTAATCAGAAAAAAATCAGTTAGTGGAAAGGATAGTCTTAATTTTAAGTTTTCTGTCTATAAGTGTGCCTTCAAGTTTCACTGCCCATTCTTGTCTTCTAGCACTTGTAAGTGATGACAAATAGAAATGTACTTCTTACAATTAATTATATGCAGTTTTACTTTTATGTTGGAAGACAGAAATCTGCACTGATATAATACTCATATTTTTATAGTAAAATTATGCCTACTTTACATATTTGAAGTAAATCAAAAGTTCATACTATTCCACTTGTTGACTTCCAGTGGGCTTAACAATCTGATTCTGTTTGAGAATCACTGGTATAAAGCAAATATCAAAGTCCAGTTATTAATTTTTTTCCAAGAAAATCACATTAAGAAAACACAAAGATCATATTGTAAAATGCTACCATGGGAAAATGCATTTGCAGATGCAACTAAAAATTGGATTTGGAGTACAAAGCAGGAAGGCACACAGATGTAGGCCAGAAGGTATTAAATTCCATGACATACACTATTGAAGTGACTCAAACCAAACTGTACAAAGAAGAAAATGTTGACTGAGGTCCAAGCTCCCAAAGTACATGCTTAGATAAACATGAATAAACATGAAGAAAAACTGATCAAGGAACTTAAGATATTAGGAAATGAAATAAAGATGAATGAGAATCTAAGAAACAGAGATGGAAATTCACTATGATCTAGAAAATATCTTTTCTAGTAGCTTTTTTTTAAAAAAAATCCTCACCCAAGTTTATGATTTTATTGATTTGAGAGAGAAAGAGGGAGAGAGAAATATAGATGTGAGAGAAACATCAATTGATGGACTCCCATATGCACCTGACTGAGGATCGAAACACCAACCTAGATATGTGCCCTGATAGGGAATCAAACCAGCAACCTTTTGTTGTATAGGATGATGCTCCAACCAACTTAGCTACCCCACCAGGGCTCTAGTAGCATTTAAAGACAGAAATGGAAAGCAAATGATCAGCAAAAAAACTGTAACATAGTGTATTTTATTTTATCAATTAAAGATAAGCCATTTTGATTTGCTTCACAATAATCGTGCAAGGGGTGTGGGAGGTGTGGGGCATGTGCTGGTTGTGGTTAGAAAGAATATGATAAAATATATTATGTTTATTTGGTCATAAGCTCTGTTTGTTATAGATGGGTATGAGGACATATAAGTTAACTTCATTCTCTCTACTTACTTTTTTTAACTTTAAACAATTTTTTATTGATTAATTTTAGAGAGAGGGAGAGAGAAAGAGAGAGAGAAAAAGACTGATTTTTGTTATTCCACTTATTTATGCATTCATTGGTTGCCCTTACCAGGGGATCGAAACCACAACCTTGGCATATCAGGACAATGTTCTAATCAACTGAGCTATCCGGCCAGGGCTACTTCTTTCTACTCTTATATGTGTGAACCTTCCCATAATAATATAAAAAAAATTAAGCCCAGCTGGTGTACTCAGTGGTTGAGTGTCGACCTATGAACCAGGAGGTCAGGGCAGGGTTGTGAGTTCCATTCCCAGTGGGGGGCATGCAGGAGGCAGCCCATCTGATCCGTGATCCCCTCTCATCATTGATGTTTCTATTTCTCTCCCCCTCTGGCTTCCTCTCTGAAATTAATTATATATATTAAGTTAAAATGGAGTACAAGGGATTGAAATCAATGTAAACTGAGAACAATGACCATATCTACTATTTACAAGTAAGAAGAGAAAAAACTATGTGAAGTAGAGGGCACCTGACCAAGAACATAAAGAAATTTCCAAAGGCTAGTAGCTGAAGAGAAACTAAGGATAGCAGAAGACACACAAAGAGTGAGAAGGATGTGATATTAGTTTAGAAAGGGAATTCGTATTCTCTGTATTTCTTTTATGGAGAAGGTGATAATGTGCCCAATTCATCTTAATAAAAGTGAAGTTAAAAGTTGATATTTAAAGTATCCATAATACTCTGAATTTGGGGATTTTGTTTTGTTTTTACTTTGTCCCAGATAAGGCTCCTCTGCCAGGTTCTTTCATTTTTTAAATATATTTTTATTGATTTCCGAGAGGAAGGGAGAGGGATAGAGAGATAGAAACATCAATGATGAGAGAGAATCATTGATTTGCTGCCTCCTTCATACCCCACACTGGGGATGGAGCCCACAATCCAGGCATGTTTCCTTGTCTGGAATCGAACCTGGGACCTTCCAGTCCACAGGCTGATGCTTTATCCACTAAGCCAAACTGCCTAGGGCCCTGCCAGGTTCTTTTTGGAAAAGGTTGCCCTGGCTGCCTTACCAGGGTACAGGTCAGTTTGGCATGGTCACTGTCTGTTAGCTAGAGCTACCTAGTATTAGTCTAGATGGGCAAGGTTATGCTGTTAATAACAAGCAATCCTAATTTCCCCCCTCAGTGATAAAAAACAATAAAACTTTATTTCTAACACATGTGACATGTCCATTGTCTGATGCTGTAGACTCTGCTCCACATTATCCTCACTCTGGAATTGAACTAATGGAGACACCATAATGGAAAGCCATAGCCAACTATGACAGCAAACATGGGGAATCACACACTGACTCTTAGATACTTCTGCCTGGAAGTAACATGATTTCAGTTCCCATGTCATTAGCTGGAACAAGTCAGAGGGTACTGCCTAACTTCTAGGAAAAGTGGGGATTATACTTCCTCCTAAATCTCCAGAAGGAAAAGGAAGCCAGATTTTGGTGACCAGTAATAATGTCTTGGTACTACACTGTTAGGTGTTTTCTGATATGACATATAAAACAGATGGTCCTTATGTACAAAGAATGTCACCACCTAAAATGTATACATTTATGGTCCTTGAAAAGAGTCCAGGACCCCTGGGAATTGGAAGTCCTAGATCTTGGGAAGACAAGACTATATGCCTATAACATGATAATCCTTTTCTTAAGACTTTTTTCAATTTTTTGGATTTTAAAATGTATATGAAAATATATAGGCCTAAGAATAGACAATCCTTAAAAAGGTGGCTGAATATTAAGATATGAATCTAATACAGGATTTATTATTGATATAGACAAGCTGGCTTTAAATTTTAAAGGAAATGCAAAGGAACTATAATAGTTATAACAATTATGAAAACAAAATATAAAGTGGAAGAATCACACTACCCAATTAAAAAAATCAACATAAAGCAATAGGAATCAGTATGATATTGGTGAATGGAAAGACACATAGATCAATGGGTCAGACTAGGGAGTCCAGAAATATACCCACACAAACATGGCCAATTGATTTTTGACAAAATGCCAAAATAGTGAAATGCATACAGGATAGTCTTTCCAACTATAGTGTGGCAACCTCTGGCCATCCATAAAAAAAGAAAAGAAATTAACTCAAAATGGATCATAGGCCTAAATAAAAATCATAAAACTATGTAACTAAAAAACAAACAAACACACAGCCTCAGTGCCACAAATATAGCTTTTATGGTTGGCCCTCATAATTTTGTTTGTTAACATGAATGATTTTCCTACATTAAAAAGTGCAAAGTTTCAAAAAACAAACAAAGAAACAAACAAATACAATCTTCTTGACCTGGGGTTAGGCACTGTTCTTAGATATGCTTAAATAATTTTAATAACTGAGAGCTCATTATTTTATAAGCTACTTTTCCCATTCCAGTGGCAACTTTAAAATTGCAATGTTCTCCAAAATAAACGGATGAACAAAATAGATCCAGAGACATAGAAGCATGGAAAAAACTGATGAATTTCCGAGGGAAGGAGTGGAGGAATGGGGGGTGGGGGGGTTGGGAGTAATTACCCGGGAAACTTATATGTATACTAGAGGCCCGATGCACAAAATGCGTGCAAGGGCCTTGGCCCTGGCCCCTGCCCACTGCTGCAGGAGTCGGGGGCCTCTGCTGCCTCTGCTGTGCCCCCCCCCACCCCCGTCTGCTGTGGCTTTGTCCAAAAGGAAGGACATCTGGAAGGATGTCTGGTCTAATTAGCATATTACGCTTTTATTATTATAGATATGCATAGCCCATGGACCCAGACAACGAAGTGGTGAAGGCCTGGGAGGGGCAGGGTTGGGGTGGCGGGGGTCAATAGGAAAAAACAAACAAACAAACAAACGAAGGGGATATCTGTAATACTTACAAAAATAAAGATAATTTTTTTTTAAATTGGAATGTTCTCAAATCAAGACATCTGCAAGCCTGAAGATTTTGCTTCTCAGTTCCTGGCATTCCTCCCAAAAGCAACACATGACAATGCTGAAAATATCTGAAGATAGTTCTCATTTCTTCAGACAAGAATCTCAAATTCCTCATCTTAAGAATGCACAGTCACTTACCAATGTCTTTAAAATGTAATATCTGGAAATTAGGACAGTACTTTAAATTCGGTTTTCCTAGAAGTATCTGTTTTGAAACCTGGATCCCTTTGATCTACACCTATTAATTCAACAAAGATTGCTATATGTTTTAAATGCTATATCCCAATCTTTTTTTTTTTGAAAGAGAGAGGGAGAGATAGAGATTTGTTGTTCCAATTATTTATGCATTCATTGGATTGCATAAATTGATTTCAGAGAGGAGGGAGAAGGAGAGAGAGAGAGAAATATCAATGATGAAAGAGAATCATTGTTTGGCTGCCTCCAATGGGGTATGGAGCCTGCAACCCAGGCATGTGCCCTGATGAGGAATCGAACGGTGACCTCTTGTTCACAGGTTGACTCTCAACTACTGAGCCACGCCAGGACAGGCCATTGGTTGATTCTTGTATGTGCCGTGACCTGGGATGGAACCCGAAACCTTGGCATATCAGCACAATGCTCTAACCAACTGGGCTACCCAGCCAGGGCCTATATCTCAATCCTGAATAACACTGAGTTTAAGGTCAACTACAACTTCTAGATTTTCTAATATGAATTGTTAATAATCCCTGTCTTCTTGACTTCATGCCCATGCTGTTGATTTCCTTTAAATATTTTTTCCTTTTTTCTTCTAATTTGCTAGATGTAGACATCCAAATTGATCAGATTCTTCTAAAAAATTTTTTTCTTGGTTTTTGGATCATCACCCCAACCTGCTTAGATCATTCTGAATCATTTCTTCCAACTCCTACTTTATAACTTCATTAATTCAATAGACATACCTTCTGTAACTTCATCTAAATCACTGATATAAATGTTGAGGAGAGGATAAAGGACAATGTCCTATGGATATCTGTGGTATTGGGTATTTACTAATTATCCAACCTCATACACAATTATCTGGCCTACATTTCTACATGCTACAGGATTCCTGATCCATCTATTTAGGCAACACCACTGAAAACAAAAAGGAATCTTACCAAGAGTTAAGGAAATTTACACTTACATTGATGTCCATTAATTTTTTTTTACATTTATTATCTACATTAGGTATGAAGAATATGTTCCAAATTATCAGTTCCAAACAAGTAGTGGCTACCTAGGGTGTTGTGTTGAGAAGGATCATAAAACTTGGCCACTATGGGAAAGAGTTCTGTGATTAATGAAGTCTGTCAGGGAACAAATAGGGATGGTGGTTGCACATTTGCCACATATTTGCCATTGCCTGTCTACATAGTCAGGCAATCAATTAACAGTGGGGGTAATGTTGATGGGTCAGAAGTGAAAGGCCCATGGTTTTTCAGTCAAAAGCAGGCTGTAATCCCTCAAAACTCCTTACCACTTCCCTGGCTCTACACCATGTCTCCACACCTACCCCCATCTTCCTAGAAGTTTCAGGTTTAAAGGAATCTTGAGTCCATGTCAGAATTTCAGCCAGGGAAAGATGGGTTTCTGGAAGCTTCACTTGGATTTCTAAATGGATGTTCCTGTGGACCTTATCATTATGTGTTGAAGAAATCAATAAATAGAAACAGCCATGGTGGAAGTTGTTTCTTTTTCTTCCTTCCTTTCTTTTCTTTCTTTCTTTCTTTTTTAATCCTCACCTGAGGATATTTTTCCATTGATTTTTTTTTTGAGAGAGAGAGGGAGTGGAAAGGAGAGAGAAACAAAGAGAGAAATATTAATTGGTTGCCTCCCACACGAGCCCCAACCAGGGCCAGGGATCTGGGGATTGAGCCTGCAATCAAGGTACATACCCTTGACTGGAATCAAAGATGGGACCTTTCAGTCTACAGCTGATGTTCTAACCACTGAGAAAAACCAGCCAGGGCTAGTTAAGTTTCTTAATACAGAGCTAAGCTTTACCCATGTGAAGTGGTCTTGAAGATTGGCCTGGGCATGCTGATCACTGTAATACAGTTTCTAAAGGAAACTGTCACTGGGACTTGAATCTGATTTATAATTTTGAAACACAATTCTGTAAGGAATTGAAATTTTGCCTCAAAGTTAAGCATATGCACCACCCAATTTGAGTAAATTGTTCACACTTTTAAGAGTATAAATCTTACCTCCCCGTGTTAATTATGTGTGCCTTATGCTTATTATGTGCCCACAGAGCACAGCAGCTTTGATTGTTCATAGGAGTGCAGTTCCTACAACGATCTGTCCTCGGATCAGACCATTTTTATTCCAACCACAGTCTACAACTCTTCCACTTTTTCCATTCACATTCATTCACTCACTCAGTGCCTATGAGATGCCTAGGACTGGGGATAGAGCGTGAAGCAATGCCCAGCTCTCATACAGCTTACAGTCCACCTGAAAAACAAGTCATCAAACACAGACCCAACCTGTCTCTCCTAAAGGAAAGGCTCTGCCCTTTCCCTTAATAGTCCCTCCCTTCCCTCAGGCACCTCCACTTCTTCCTTGATCCTTCCTTCTTCCTCATCTACCTCCACCCCTTCCAACAGCAGTTCCTACCCAGCCACAAAAGATGCCTTCTCTTCTTTCAAGAGCTAACCACTCCAGCAAAACTTCCCCATTTGCCTCACCAAGCCCCACCCCTTCCTCGACTGGCTCCTCCCTCATAGGGACCCGCCCTTTCAACGACCCCTCCCACTGCCCCACCCACACCGTGCAGCTGCTCCCCAGGCCCCGCCCTTAACTCCAGTACTGGTACCTCTCTCTGCTGCATCCCCGTCTCAGAGGGCAGCTTCTTCTCTTGCTGGGCAGGGCTCTTGCTCTGCTGCGCGTGAAGTGGGGCCTTGCTCTGGGGGCGGGGAAGCGGCCGCCGCCACTCACACCCTCACATGTGGGGCCTGTGCGGTGGAAAGCCCCCGGCAGCTTAGTCTTCGCCGGCGGCGGGCGACAGTTGCCCCGGGTTACGACGCACTGGAGGGACGGGTGGTGGGAGGGACCGCGGGGGCTCATAGCGGAAGTGACGCA